CAACCTGTTCCCACCCTCCACCCTCAATAGGCCCCGGTGTCTGTTGTTTTCTTCTTTGTGTCTATGTGTACTCAATTTTTAGCTCCCACTTATAAGTGAGAACATACGGTATTTGGTTTTCTGTTCCTGTGTTAGTTCGCTTAGGATAATGGCCTCCAGCTCCATCCGTGTTACTGCAAAGGACATGATCTCATTCTTTTTTATGGCTGCATAGTATTCCATGGTGTATATGTACCACCACCTTTTTTTAAATCCAGTCTGCCATTGGTGGGTATTTAGGTGGATTCCATGTCTTCACTGTGTGCAGTGAATGGTGCTGCGATGAACATACATGTGCATGTGTCTTTATAGTAGAATGATTTCTATTCCTTTGGGTATATATCCAGTAATGGGATTGCAAGGTTGATAGGTAATTCTGTTTTAAGTTCTTTGAGAAATAGCAACTGCTTTCCACAGTGGCTGAACTAATTTACAGTCCCACCAGCAGAGTATAAGCATTCTCTGTTCTCCACAACCTCGCCAGCATCTATAATGGTTTGACTCTTTAATAATAGCTATTCCGACTGGTGTGAGATGATACGCAGTTTTGATTTGTGTTTCTCTAATGATTGATGATGTTGAGCATTTTTTCTTGTTTGTTGGCCACATGTATGTCTGCTTTTGAAAAGTGTCTGTTCATGTCCTTTTTAATGGGGTTGGTTTTTGCTTATAAATTTAAGTTCCTTAGAGATGCTGGATATTAGACTTCTGTTGGATGTATCATTTGCAAATATTTTCTCCCGTTCTGTAGATTTGTCTGTGTACTCTGTTGACAGTTTCTTTTGCTGTACAGAAGCTCTTTGGTTTAATGAGGCGCCATTTGTCAATTCTTGTTTTCATTGCAATTGCTTTTGGCATCTTTGTGAAATCTTTGCCAGGTCTTGTGTTGACAGTGCCATTTCCTAGGTTATCTTCTGGGTTTTTATAGATTTAGGTTTTACTTTTAAGTCTTTTAATCTATCTTGAGTTGATTTTTGTATATGGTGTGAGGAGGGGGTCCAGTTTCAGTCTCCTGCAGATAGCTAGCCAATTATCCCAACTCTTTGGTGACTTTCTTCACCCACAACTGTGTGATTACGATCCGAGAGTGTAATAGAATTAGAACATTTTAGAACTTAAATGGACATTTACTATCACTGAGTCTAGCCTTAATTTCACAGGAAAACAACTGATAGAGGCTATACTACTAGCCAAGTTCACATAGTAACTTATGACAAACTAGGATTTGAAATAAAGTCCTCTAACTAGACAGTGCTTAAAATGAATCTCTCTCAAAGACAGGGAGAAACACATCACTTTTTACTGGAAGAAACAGGCCAGTTGTTTGTTGGCAAATGATATATCTTAGTTGATTTTCTCAAAAGAAAAATAAGTAAATAAGTAATGTAGAGGTTTTGAGTGAAATCTTTAAAAAACATATTCAGTTATCCGAAGGCCCATGTAAAAGGAATCCTTGAATTCTCCCATAGATATGTTCTCTCATGGGTACCATTAACTTCCTTGATTCCACTTAGCCAAAAGAACACTGAAATTAAATGTGCAAATGAAAGATGTTTCCCTGTATGGATGGCTGATGGTTCATTACAATTGAGCCCAGTCTCATCTGGAAAACTAGGAAGGCACTCTGGAAAATTCTTTTGTTGGTACCTTAAGTTAGAGTTGGCCTATTCTTGTGATTCTGCCTTTCAAAGGATAAGTGAAACTCTAATCATCTATACTTATTAAAAATTATCTGTTCTTTGCTTCAGTGGTGAAGTTGGCATTTCTAGTCTGTAGAGTGATTTCCATTGTATATAGTGCTCCTTCTCCCTTACCCGCCAAATTTGGCTTCAGGCTTGATAGGATATGATTTTTCTGTAGCCCCTATACAGAGCTTGCACATGGACCTGAATATTTAAATAGCAGAACGAGATTACAACTGAGAAATCTGCAGTACAGTTGTTCTTCACATGTCCCATGTATCTTTGTTCACTGGCCAAACACCTCAAATCTCATGCAAAATGCTAATAGGAGTAAGTCATTTTACTTATCTCCATGATGTTTATTTCACTCCTCTTGGGATGCCAAGATTTTTATAATGGCCTCAAAAATTGCATAAATGCCTGACTAAATAGTAATTGTGAGGCAGAATGTAAACAGAAAAGCATCCAAAGATACAACCCTAGAAAATCACTTTCCCTCTAGAAAATCACTTTCCCTCTAATTCTAAAAGCAATTCCTTTGAAATGTAAGTGAATACACTTCTATTTTAGGAAGTGTGATCATGAAAATTTGATTTTCTATGCCCTTCAACTCATTAAAACAATAGTTATTCAAAATGGACAGCCTTACTAGTTCCTTTAAAAAGAAATAGGTAGACAGATAAACAGTGGGTGCAGACAGGTCATCAGTGTGTTGAAACTTCTTCTGCAAACCCAACCCTTCTGTTGACTGTTAGGATTTTCCTTGTTTTGCGCATCTTCATATTGTAACTTATCAAATTCCCTCTTTTGTTTTTGAGGTGGAGTTTTGCTCTTGTTGCCCAGGCTGGAGTGCAGTGGTGCAATCTCAGCTCACTGCAACCTTGGCGTCCTAGGTTCAAGAGATTCTCCTGCCTCAGCCTCCCAAGTAGGTGGGATTACAGGCACCTGCCACCATGCCCGGCTAATTTTTGTATTTTCAGTAGAGATGGGGTTTCATCACTTTGGCAGACTGATCTTGAACTCCTGACCTCAGGTGATCCACCTGCCTCAGCCTCCCAAAGTGCTGGAATTACAGGCATGAGCCACCATGCCCGCCCCAAGTTCCCTCTTAAAAGATGCCAAGACAGGTAATTGCATCTTCCTATGCATTAACCTAACATTGTGGAAGCTAGGCACACACCTGTAGTCCCAGCTGCTCAGGAGGCTGAGCCTAGAGAATCACTTGAGGCCATGACTTCGAGGTTGTAGTGTGTGATGATCACACCTGTGAATAGCCATGGCACTCCAGCCTGGGCAACATAGTGAGACCCTGCCTCTTTAAAAAATAATAATAAATTTTTAAAATTACATTATGAAGGAGCTACCTTCTACAAATTCCATTCAACCAATGAATTTGCCACCTGCCCGTTCTACCCAAAGAAGCCTGGTTAATGTGGCATTTCAGATGAAGCCCTCAGCACACCCTCCTTCAGTTACTCAGCACTGCCTTTGTATTCATGGAACTGTGAGTTGGCAGCTTCTCCCCGAAGCCTGCCCCATCTGTACAGCACATCCTTGAAGCATCTCTGCTGACCAGTCTTGGTCCTCACTCTGTGGTGGTTCTCTGTCAAGTTTCCCTCTCTGTTCACAGTTCTTAATGAACAGAGCCATCTGGGGCCACAGCCTGTGAAATCTGATTCTCATCACACAGTCAGCAAACAGAACCACTGGGATATGCTCAGGCAGTTCCCGGGAGGAAACCGTAAATGCATATAGCCTTGTCTAGGCAAAAATAAAATGAACTCATCCATTTAAAACAAAACAATGAAAAACACCATGTAAATGTCAGCTGTGGGCTACCTAAGAAATTAGTTAAAACGTATCATAAATGTATATCATATATTAAGTGATCTCTATGTACTAATTTATTTATAATATAGCATCAAGGTATTTGTAAAATTATATGGAATGTGCTTTGAACATGAAAACTCATCATTTCTATAAAATCTGTCAGACTGCCTGTTTGGCAAATAAAGTTGATTTATGGGGAGATTCTGGTCTCTTGTGTGTGATCACGTTTATCCTCATATTGAGGTGATCACAAAGCCCTGAAGTGAGGGACCCTGTTAGAGGAGATAAATCATCACTGTAAGGCCAATTAGTAGACAGGACAATAACTCATATTGGGAGAAGCATGCCTTTAGCTGCCATAAGTGGAGGAACTCACAGCTGCAGCCACACCTGTGCAGCTCTGATCTGACTGCAGAGCCACCAAAAGTCTAATCTGCACGTGTGGGCTAAAACACAAGCAAGAGGCAAAAGGCTGGAAGCCACAGCAGAGGGAAATATGGCATAAAAAGCACTCTGCAAACATGAAAATCGTGTGCCAACTAAGCAAAGCCGATGCATCAGCTATAACCCCTTCTAGATATTCAGGATGATGAGGATGATGAAGAGTAAGAGGAGGACGAGAAGTTAGATCTTCCATCCTCCCTTGTCATCCGCAGTTCCTCAGACTGTATCATTTTTAAAGGTTTGATTCACTGATGGTGGTCTATCAGTATTACTCTTTGTAGCCTTTTGGCCATGCTCATGCAGGGGTACCCAACCCCCAGGCTGTGGACTGGTATCAGTCTGTAGCCTGTTAGGAACCAGGCCCCAGAGCAGGAGATTAGTGGTGGGAGCAAGCATTGCTGCCTGAGTTCTGCCTTCTGTCAGATCAGGGTGCGGCATTAGATTCTCATGGGAGCACGACCCGATTATGAACTGCATGCAAGGGATCTAAGTTGCATGTTCCTTATGAGATTCTAACTAATGCCTGATCTGAGGTGGAATCACCCCCACCCCCGAAACCACCTTCCCCCTATACCCCTATCCATGGAAAAACATAGAAAAATTGTCTTCCATGAAACCAGTCCTTGGTGCAAAAAAGGTTGGGGATGGCTGGTCTAGTGTGTTAAAGGCCCCAGAAGATTACATCTTTCTAGTCAGGGTTATGAACTACACTAAAATGCATAGTGGCTAAGCTGGGCACAGTGGCTCATGCCTGTAATCCCAGCACTTTGGGTGGCCAAGGTGGGTGGATCACCTGAGGTCAGGAGTTTGAGACCAGCATGGCCAACATGGTGAAACCCTGTCTCTGTAAAAATGCCAAAAAAAAAAAAAATTAGCTGAGTGTGGTGGCAGGCACCTGTAATCCCAGCTACCCGGGAGGCTGAGGCGGAATTGCTTGAACCTGGGAGACAGAGGTTGCAGTGAGCCAAGATTGCACTGCTGCATTCCAGCCTGGGCAACAGAGCAAAACTCTGTCTCAAAAAAAAAAAAAAAAAGAAGCATGCTGACTAAAGAATCACCCATTCTGTTTTTTGTTAAGGAACCAAAGTGATTTTCATCTTCTAAGTTATGACCATCTGTGTGGTTCTGCTCCACTGGCTGATGCTTCAAGAAAACAGTTTTCAGGCATTGGTGACACTCCATGGTAGAGGCCCACCAGTTGTTGACCGTAGACTAAACCCACTCCACTGCCTGTCTTTGTCAATAAAGCTTTATTGGAACACAGTCACAGTCATTCATTTACCTACTTTCTGTGGCTGCTTACACACCATAATGGCAGAGGTGAGTAGCTGCAACAGAAACTGTATGACCCACGAAGCCGAAAGTATTTACTATCTGGCCCTTTGAAGAAGAAAGAGATGACACGCTTAAGGACCTAGACTGAGGACATTAGAGAATGTTGCCTTGCTGTCAGAGTGTTGGTCCTAGATCTATTGAGAGAGTGCATGTGCCCAAAATATCTCCATTAGAGAAAGAAGCTATATTTATAGAGTTTTTCTTTGTGCTCATTACTCTAATCATCAAAATGATCCCATTTACCTTTACTTCTTAGTCCAGATCTGTCTGTGAAACATCGTATAGCCTATGGATTATGCTGGGATTATGGTCCAGTTTTTCAAACTTGATTTATTACCTGAGCAATTAGAAAAGCTACTTCAAGGACAGCCAGGTATCATTGAAGGCAGCTCAGCTCAGCTTAGCTGCCGGCCAGCTAAGAAGGGGATGGTTGTGCAGACAGACTGAGAGAGGGAATCCATGTAAGCAGAAAATGTGTGTTGTCCTTAAGAAAGAAAGGCCACAACCACACCAGGCAGGCTTAGCTTGAAAATAAATATCAGCAGGTGTGAGGAGTATGTTCCTGTTTTTGCAGCTGCAGCTAGATTCCAAGTCCTGCAGGAAAAGGTGAAGGCTGGGAGGAGAGTCGCCAGTGAGTAAGAGCCAGATGCTAAAACATGACTCCTTGGGCACAAGAAAGGCCTAGGCTCAAGACAGGTAGTGCACAAATGGAGTGCCACACAGATAGGAAGAGATGTGGCAAGAGCTCCAGCAAATTGCAGAACCGTAGAATATGCTTGGGAGGTGTGTAATGCTATGGTAAAGACAGGCTGACAAATTCTCTACACACTTATTGTATGAAGAAAATATATTTATTTTACACATTTAAACATACACACACACACACACACACAATCTTCTGATCAGTGAAAGGAGCTACTGACAGTGGTCCCTGTTCATTGTCCACATGCCTCTCCTTTGAGTGGCAGCTGGCTGAGAAGGGCAGCTTTCAGGTCCCTGAGTGGCCATGAGTCCCTGTCTGCTCTGTGTATGATTCTGCCTGCCAGGCACGCCCAGCCTCCTAGTGACCTCCTGTTAGAGACACATCAGGTGGGATGCTGATCATAGGTGGGCACTCTCCTGGAAGGAGGAGATGGCTTCTCTGATGGAGGGGAATGTTACGCCATCAGCCATCTCCCTCAGGATGGAGGTGGGTGTTTCTTTTCACTGCAGGAGTTGGTTTGGCTGGTGCTCCCTGAGAGGGACATTACTGTCACAGGTGCAGGGCTGCAGATGGGATCTGCCCAGGTTCTCCCTGGCCTCCAGCTGGGGCATTTCAGCATCAAGAAACTGCCTGCCCATGTGCTGGGGGTGCTGCGGTCTCTCTTGCCTGTCTGGGCTTGTATGGGGAAGGGTGGAAATGTATATATGGGGCATGTGTGTGCTGAGTATATTTGATGTGAACAGAATGTGAGAAAACAAAACAAGAAACCCTAAGTAAGGGAAGAGAACAGGGCCTAATGTGTTCCAGGCTGAGATCTAACAGTGCTGTAGCAGATAAGAGCTCTAAATTCAGACTCTCCTTGAGTCTCCTATTTGAAAGCAGTTGTCCCCACTTTCAATGGTTTGCTGAAGCCATTGAGTACATTAGCTGAAGAATTAGTGAAAATCAGGGACTGGGAGGCTGAAGCAGGAGGTTTGCTTGAGGCCAGGAGTTCAAGACCATCCTGAGCAAAATAGCAAGACCCCCATCGCTACAAAAATTAAAAAATTAGCTAGGCATAGTGGCACACATCTATAGTCCCAGCTACTTGGGAGGCTGAAGTGGGAGGATCACTCGAGCTCAGCAGTTTGAGGCTGCGGTGAGCTGTGATTGCACTACTGCACTCCAGCCTGAACAACAGAGCAAGACCCTGCCTCTAAAAAAAAGAAAGAAAAGCCCAGGCACAGTGAATTATGCCTATAATCCCAGCACTTCGGGAGGCTGAGGTGGGAGAGTTTGATTGCCTGAGCCCAGGAGTTTGAGACCAGCCTGAGCAACATGGCAATAACCCTGTCTTTACAAAAAATAGAAAAAAAATTAGCCAGGTACTTGGGAGGCAGAGGTTGCAGTGAGCCAAGATTGTGCCACTGTAATCCAGCCTGGGCAACAGAGTGAGATCCTTTCTCAAAAAAAAAAAAAAAAAGAAAGAAAGAAAGAAAAAGAAAAGAAAAAAGTCTAAAAAAGAAAAGGATAAAGTCTATTTGAAACTTCCATTTACTCTCCAGTTCCCCTTCTTTTCCTTATTTCCCTTTCCCATATAGATAGATTCTTTCCCAGATAAATAACTCAACCCATTATTTTCATCATTCAACTTCCATCTATCCTGATCTCATTATAATTAACCAATTTTCAAAGAATGCAAAAATACAAATCTAGACTGGTTAGACATTCCTCAAATCTGCTTTGCTCCTGTAAAAACAAAAAGTCTCGGGGGAGTTGAGGGGGGGTCTGTTTGTTGTTGCATTACATCTACAGGAAAATCTATTTTGTGAAAGAGTTTCGGGCTATAGGAAAATCCTGAGAGATTAATGAGAGTGTCTGTATTCATACCATTCCTTTGGGCTACAAGGCTATTGGCCTAAAACTGAAGCTTTATGTTTAAATTTATGGACCATGAGTCAGGAAAGAGTAGGTAAAATAAGACTTTATTAAAGGAGAATTATAGAAAACTTAGCAACATAACGCATCCAAAACCTCCCTCCACTTGAGCATCTGAGACTCTTTGGGGTTTTTGTTTCCAGGCTTCTAAATAGCTTGAGATCTTATCTGAACTTGAGTTGTTATTGTTTCCAGAAACAGAAGCTCAGAAGAGACTTGGGAGACAGCTGTAAGGAAAATAGCTGTAGCCCCATTGAAGGAGGAGGGAAAGGATGGGGATTCCTGCCACCCATCTCCTAGCTTCTTCCCCACCCTCTACCCTCACCCATCTCCTTAGGAAGTGTGATGGCCCCGGATGAGAGATTGGCCCTTTGGGGTGACATTCAAGGATGGTGGCTCACACCTATAATCCCAGTACTATTGGAGGCCGAGGCAGGCAGATCATGAGGTCAGGAGTTCAAGACCATCCTGGCCAACATGGTGAAACCCCATCTCTACTAAAAATACAAAAATTAGCTTGGCATGGTGGTGCACACCTGTAGTCCCAGCTACTTCGGAGGCTGAGGCAGGAGAATTGCTTGAACCCAGGAGATGGAGGTTGCAGTGAGCCAAGATCATACCACTGCACTCCAGCCTGGCAACAGAGTGAGATTCTGTCTCAAAAAACAAAAACAAAAAGCTGCACATGTTCTTCAGCTCCTAGGAGGAATCCAGCAGATGTTGTAGTCAGAGAAAGACATGGAAGGAGGCATATTGTTGCCTATTTTTACCTTTTCATTCCTTGCCCTCAGCCTGGGCAACAGCGCAAGACTCCAACTTAAAAATAGATTAAAAAAAAAATTAAAAAAAAAAAAACCAACTGAGGTATTCCAGAAATAGTTGGGATAATTTGCAAACATTAGAGGTTATGTGTTTCTGTGACATGGAAAATTGTTATTTGTAAGTCATCTGAATTTTTTTGACTTAGTTCTCTTAGTTGGAGTATTGGGCCCAGTGTAACTCTCTACCCTTAAAGAGAAATGGTGCAAAGATAATCTAATCTGATTGCCATATCTGTCACTGTTCATCACCAAGATTGATATGGTTATATGACTATCAAAGCAAGTGTCTCCTTCCTCTTTGGATAGCCTCAGTGTCTCAAATCTGAATACCTTCATCAGAAAGGAAGATTTTCTCTATCATGATCTTCCTGTCAAGGTTCCACCAGGAAACAGATGATTCCTAATTATGATGATCTGAGGAGGGTTTATTTACAACAGAACTAACTGTAAAGGTGTGGGCAGGCTTCAGAATCCTCAACACAGAGCTCCAGGCTGACTTTGGCAACCAACTAGAGTTGACAAATGAACTGTACCTGTTTGTCAGTGTGACTTATGGAGATTACTATTTGTTGCATCTTCCATAAGAACCAAGAAAGCAACAGACTACTTATCCATTTTTATATGAAGAAATTATAGATAGTCAGGAAATTCTCATATGCAACAGGTTAAGAGAGGACATAAATTCTGAACTGAGAAAGACCCACCTCTTAGTTCCCCAAGGCAGGAAACCAACACATCTCTGTATTAGTCCATTCTTGCACTGCTGTAAAGAAATACTGTAGACTGGGTAATTTATAAAGAAAAGAGGTTTAATTGGCTTCTGATTCTGCAGGCTGTACAGGAAGCATAGTGGCTTCTGCTTCTGGGGAGGCCTCAGAAAGCTTCTAATCATGGCAGAAAACAAAGTGGGTGCAAGATGTCATACATGCCAGGAGCAGGAGCAAGAGGCAGTCAGGGGGAGATGCTATAAACTTTTAAACAACCAGATCTCATGAGAACTCATTCGCTGTTAAGAAGAACAGCTTCAAGGGGATGGTGCTAACCCATTCATGAGAAACTGCACCCATCATCCAGTTACCTCCCACCAGGTCCCACCTCCAACACTGGGTATTACAATTGAACATGAGATTTGGGTAGGGACACAGATCCAAACCATATCATTCTGTCCCCGGCCCCTTCCAAATCTCATGTCTTTCTCATATTGAAAAATAAAATCAGGCCTTCCAATCAATCCCCAGTCTTCACGCATTCCAACATTAACTCAAAAGTTTCATCTGAGACAAGGCTAGTCCCTTCTGCCTATAAGCCTGTAAAATCAAAAACAAGTTAGTTATTTCTAAGATACAATGAGGACATAGGCATTGGGTAGATACTCCCATTTCAAAAGGGAGACATCAGCCAAAAGAAAGGGGCTCCAGGCCCTGTATAAGTCCTAAACCCAGCAGGGCAGTCATTAAATCTTAATGTTCCAATATAATCTCTATGTCCCACATCCCAGCCACACTGGTATGAACAGTGGGCTCTCAAAGCCTTGGGCAACACTGCCTCTGTGGCTCTGCCGGGTCTAGTCCCCAGAGCTGCTTTCATGGACTGGCATTGAGTGCCTGCAGCTTTTCTAGGCAGAGAGTGCAAGCTGCCAGTGGATATTCTAGGGCCTAGAGGACAGTGGCCCTCTTCTCACAGCTCCACTAGGCAGTGCCCCACTGAGGACTCTGGGGGGGTTCCAACCCCATATTTTCCCTCTGCGCTGCCCTAGTAGAGGTTCTCCATGAGGGTTCTGCCCCTGCAGAAGGATTCTGACAGGACATCCAGAGTTTTCCATACATCCTTTAAAGTCTAGGCCTCAACTCTTTTTTTCTTTTAATTTATTTATTTTACTTTAGGTGCATACTATATCTGGCATTTCTCCCCATGTTATGCCTCCCCACCCTCCACTCAATCCCCACCCCCCACTGTCTCTTCCCTACCCCCGCAACTGCCCCCAGTATGTGATGCTCCTCTCCCTGAGTCCACGTGTTCTCGTTGTTCAACACCTATGTATGAGTGAGAAAATATGGTGTTTGGCTTTCTGTTCTTGTGTCAGTTTGCTGAGAATGATGGTTTCCAGATTCATCTAAATCCCTACAAAGGACATGAACTCGTCGTTCTTTATGGCTATGAAATATTCCAAGTATTCCCCATTTTCTTTGTCCAGTCTATCATTGATGGGCATTTGGATTGATTCCAGTTCTTTGCTATTGTACACAGGGCTGCAATGAACATACATGTGCATGTGTCTTTATAATAGAACGATTTATGGTTCTTTGGGTATATACCTAGTAATGGGATTGCTGGGTCAAATGGAATTTCTATTTCTAGATCCTTGAGAAATCACCACACCATCTTTCATAATGGTTGAACTAATGTACACTCCCACCAACTGTGTAAGAGTGTTCCTATTTCTCCACATCCTCTCCAGCATCTGTTGTCTCCAGATTTTTTAATGATCGCCATTCTAACTGGCGTGAGATGATATCTCAGTGTGATTTTGATTTGCATTTCTCTAATGACCAGTGACGATGAGGATTTTTTCATATGTTCCTTGGCCTCATATATGTCTTCTTTTGAAAAGTGTCTGTTCATATCCTTCGCTCACTTTTGAATGGGGTTTTTTGGTGTTTTTCTTGTATATCTGTTTTAGTTCTTCATAGATTCTGGATATTAGCCCTTTGTCAGATGGGTAGACTGCAAAAATTTTTTCCCATTCTGTTGGTTGCTGTTTCACTATAATGATGGTTTCTTTTGCTGTACAGAAGCTCTGGAGTTTAATTAGATCCCATTTGTCTGTCTTGGCTTTTACTGCCATTGCTTTTGGTGTTTTAGTCATGAAGTCCTTGCCTATGCCTATGTCCTGAATGGTTTTGCCTACATTTTCTTCTAGTGTTTTTATGGTGTTAGGTTTTATGTTTAAATCTTTAATCCATCTGGAGTTAATTTTAGTGTAAGGTGACAGGTAGGGGTCCAGTTTCTGCCTTCTACACTTTGCTAGCCGGTTTTCCCAATACCATTTATTAAACATGGAGTCCTTTCCCCATTGCTTGTTTTTGTCGGGTTTGTCAAAGATCACATGGTTGTAGATGTGTGGTATTGCTTCTGGGATCTGTGTTCTGTTCCATTGGTCTATGTCTCTGTTTTGGTACCGGTACCATGCTGTTGTCATTACTGTAGCCTTGTAGTATAGTTTGAAGTCCGGCTGTGTGATGCTTCCGGCCTTGTTCTTTTTACTTAGGATTGTCTTGGCTATGTGGGCTCTCTTGTGATTCCATATGAAGTTTAAAGTGGCTTTTCCCAGTTCTGTGAAGAAGGTCATTGATAGCTTGATGGGGATAGCGTTGAATCTACAGATTACTTTGGGCAGTATGGCCATTTTCACGATATTAATTCTTCCTAACCATGAGCGTGGAATGTTTTTCCATCTGTTTGGGTCCTCTCTTATTTCGTTGAGCAGTGGTTTGTAGTTCTCCTTGAAGAGGTCCTTTACATCCTTTGTTAGTTGTATTCCTAGGTATTTTATTCTCTTTGTAGCAATTGTGAATGGGAATTTGCTCTTGATTTGCTGTCTGTCTGTCTGTCTGTTATTGGTATATAGGAATGCTTGTGATTTCTGCACATTGATTTTGTATCCTGAGACTTTGCCGAAGTTGCTTATCAGTTTGAGAAGATTTTGGGCTGAGATGATGGGGTCTCCTAGATATACAATCATGTCGTCTGCAAATAGAGACAGTTTGACTTCCTCCTTTCCTATTGAATACCCTTTATTTCTTTTTCTTGCCTGATTGTTCTGGCTAGAACTTCCAATACTATATTGAATAGGAGTGGTGAGAGAGGGCATCCTTGTTTAGTGCCTGATTTCAAAGGGAATCTTCCAGCTTTTGCCCATTCAGTATGATATTGGCTGTAGGTTTGTCATATATAGCTTTTATCATTTTATGATATGTTCCATCAATACCTAGTTTATTGAGAGTTTTTAGCATGAAGGGCTGTTGAATTTTATTGAAGGCCTTCTCTGCATCTATTGAGATAATCCTGTGGTTTTTGTCTTTGGTTCCGTTTATGTGATGGATTACATTTATGGATTTGCATATGTTGAACCAGACTTGCATCCCCGGATGAAGCCTACTTAGTCGTGATGGATAAGCTTCTTGACGTGCTGTTGCAATCTGTTTGCCAGTATTTTATTGAAGATTTTTGCATTGATGTTCATCATGGATATTGGCCTGAAGTTTTCTTTTTTAGTTGAGTCTCTGCCTGGTTTTGGTATCAGGATGACGTTGGTCATAAAATGAGTTAGGGAGGATTCCCTCCTTTTGTATTGTTTGATACAGTTTCAGAAGGAAGGGAACCAGCTCCTCTTTGTACATCTGGTAGAAATTGGCTGTGAACCCATCTGGACCTGGACATGTTTGGTTGGTAGGCTATTGATTGCTGCCTCTACTTCAGCCCTTGTTATTGGTCTATTCAGGGTTTCAACTTCCTCCTGGTTTCATCTTGGTAGAGTACAAATGTCTAGGAATTTATCCATTTCTTCTTGGTTTATGTGAATAGAGCTGTTTGTAGTAATCTCTGAGGGTAGTTTGTATTTCTGTGGGATCGGTGGTGATATCCCCTTTATCTTTTTTTATTGCATCTATTTGATTCTTCTCCCTTTACTTTTTTATTAATCTGGCTGTCTATTTTGTTGATCTTTTCAAAAAACCAGCTCCTGGATTTATTGATTTTTTGAAGAGTTTTTTGTGTCTCTATCTCCTTCAGTTCTGCTCTGATCTTAGTTATTTCTTGTCTTCTGCTAGCTTTTGAGTTTTTTTGATCTTCCTCCTCTAGCTCTTTCAATTTTGATGTAGGGTGTCAATTTTAGATCTTTCCTCTCTTCTCTGGTGGGCATTTATTGCTATAAATTTCCCTCTCAACACTACTTTAAAGGTGCCCCAGAGATTCTGGTAAGTTCTGCCTTCATTCTGATTGGTTTCAAAGAACATCTTTATTTCCGCCTTCATTTCATTGTTTATCCAGTCAACACTCAGAAGCAAGTTGTTCAGTTTCGAAGTGGTTGTGCGGGTTTGAATGTGTTTCTTGATGCTGAGTTCTAGTCTGATTGTGCTGTGGTCTGATAAACTGTTATGATTTCCATTCTTTTGCATTTGCTGAGGAGTGATTTGCTTCCAATAATGTGGTCAATTTTAGAGTAAGTGCAATGTGGTGCTGAGAAAAAATGTATATTCTGTGGATTTGGGGTGGAGTGTTCTGTATATGTCTATTAGCTCAGCTTGGTCCAGCTCTGCATTCAAGTCCAGGATATCCTTGTTAATTTTCTGTCTCATTGATCTGTGTAATATTAACAGTGGAGTGCTGAAGTCTCCCACTATTACTGTGTGGGAGTCTAAATCTTGTTTTAGGCTGTTAAGAACTTGCTTTATGTATCTGGGTGCTCCTGTGTTGGGGGCATATATATTTAGGATAATTAGCTCTTCTGGTTGGATTGATCCCTTTACCATTATGCAGCGTCCTCCTTTGTCTCTTTTGATCTTTATTGGTTTGAGGTCCATTTTATCAGAGACTAGGATTGCAACCCCTGCTTTTTTTGTTCTCCATTTGCTTGGTAAATCTTCCATCCCTTTATTTTGGGTCTGTGTATGTCTTTGTATGTGAGATGGGTTTCCTGAATACAGCACACTGATGGGTTTTGACTTTTTATCCAGTTTGCCAGTTGTGTCTTTTGATTGGGGTATTTAGGCAGTTTACATTCAATGTTCATATTGTTATGTGTGAATTTGATTCTGCCATTTTGTTACTGGCTGGTTTTTTTTTCCGTTAGTTGACTCATTTTCTTCATTGCATTTTTGGTCTTTGCTAACTGGTTTGCTTTTGCAGTGACTGGTACTTCTTCCTTTCTGTGCTTAGTGCTTCTTTCAGGAGCTCTTGTAGGGCAGGTCTGGTGGTGACAAAATATCTCAGTAATTGCTTGTCCATAAAGGGTTTTATTTCTCCTTCACTTACGAAGCTTAGTTTGGCTGGATATGAGATTCTGGGTTGAAAGTTCTTTTCTTTAAAGATGTTGAATATTGGCCCCCACTCTCTTCTGGCTTGTAGGGTTTCTGCTGAGAGATCTGCTGTGAGTCTGACTGGCTTCCCTCTGTGGGTGACCTCACCTTTCTCTCTGGCTGCCCTTAGCATTTTTTCCTTCATTTCAACCCTGGTGAATCTGACAATTATGTGCCTGGGGTTGCTCTTCTTGAGGAATATCTTTGTGGAGTTCTCTGCATTTCTTGAATTTGAAGTTTGGACTGCCTTGCTAGGCTTGGGAATTTATCCTGGATAATGTCCTGGAGCGTGTTTTCCAGCTTGGATTCATTCTCCCCATCAAATTTGGGTATACCGATCAAGCGTAGATTAGGTGTTTTCACATAATCCCATATTTCTTGGAGGCTTTGTTCATTTCTTCTCACTCTTTTTTCTCTTGTCTTGACTTCTCTTTTTGTTTCATTGAGTTGATCTTCAATCTCTGATATCCTTTCTTCTGCTTGATCGATTTGGCTATTAAAACTTGTATATGCTTCACATAGTTCTCGTGCTGTGTTTTTCAACTCTGTCAAGTTGTTTATGTTCTTCTCTAAGCTGGTTATTCTAGTTAGCATTTCTTCTAACCTTTTTTCAAGGTTTTTGGTTTCTTTGCATTGAGTTAGAATGTGTTCCTTTAACTCAGAAAAGTTTGTTATTATCCACCTTCTGAAGCCTGTTTCCGTCAATTTGTCGCACTCCTTCTCGGTCCTGCTGTGATCCTGTGTTGTTGAGGAGTTGTGATCCCTTGAAGAAGAGGTGTTCTGGTCTTTGATGGTTTCATCTTTTTTGTGCTGTTTTTTTTCCCATCTTTGTGGATTTACCTGGCTGTGGTGTCAGGGAGCTGCTTGATGAGGTCGCTTGTCTGCCTGTAGAGGCGCTACTGGTTCCTAGGGACTCCTTCAGGTTACTAGGGAAGCTTCCTGTGCCTTTTTTGTTTATACTGGTAGATTAGGCTCACCTCTTCTGCTGACTTATAGGTACTACTGTGTTGTCAAGAATGCCGTTCCGTTGCTAGGTAGGCTTCATGTGCTTTTTGCTAAAACATATAGCCCAGTCCCATCCCTCTAGTGGTGGGTTGTGCTCTTCCTCCACTGGGCTGGATCATTCAGGGTTCAGCTGAGACCGTGGCACTGGCTGCGTAACCCACTAGAGTCAGAGCTTCGGCTCTCTGGGGTTTGTTGGGGAGGGTAGGGACCCATCCAGCCGCACCCGGCCATCTCCCTCTTTCAGCTTCCTCTCTCTCCAGTCATGGGGTAGGGGCCTGCCCAGGTGCTCCTGCTTACAGCTCCCTCTCTTTCCATGTGGGGGGAGGGGGCAATAGCTCAGTCAGCAGGCTCTTCCAGCTGCCTTTTGGGCTTATGTAGTTGGAGGCTGACACTTTGCCCATGCTATTTCTTTCCTTATTGCTCAATGACTTCCTTCTTTTCAGTAGAGTTAATAATGACAGCCCCTTTCAGGATATGCAGGCTGTCTCCAAATCTTCACATCTCCCTAACCTTACCTGCTTGCATGTCCACCTCGCTATTGAAGCAGCCTCCTTCAATCTTTTATGATAGCATCCAGAGCTGTTATTCTCAAACTTTAGCATGTACTTGCATCTCCTGGAGAGAGCTCGTAAAAACAGCACAGTTGGCCGTACCCCACTCCCAGACCTTCTGATTCAATAGCTCTGGAGCCCAGTAGTTTGCAGGTTAAAGAGCACCCAGGTGATGTTGATGCTGGGGACCACACTGTGAGAAGCACATACTTGGGATTCTTTACAATCGTCTGTGCAGGTTTGAAGTATCTGGGAAGCTTAAAAAAAATACAGCAGTGCTTAAGCTCTACTTTCATACATTCTGATTTTAATTGGTGAAGAATGTGGCCCAGGTTTAAGGTAACACGGGTTATTCTAACATGCTACATGACTAAGAACTACTGACATAGAAACCATGGGAAACAGCAGAGATCAGGAAAATCGACACAATGCTGTAGGAAGAGGACCAACGATGGGCTTGAAGTTGTGACTTCAGTGGGGTTTTTTGTTCCCACTAGTCTATGAAGCATGATGATTAACAGTGGTGTCAGTGCACCAGTTGTGCCTCAATCTCAGTCTTTTCCCTTGATCCGATTATATTCAGCTACTGAAGATTCTGACAGAGGGTTATTTAAAAAACATTTTGTGTTCCTAGAAGGAGTGTTAGTTTTTTACCAAAGGTACCCAGGAGAGCTCTTTATTGGAAAGGAGCAGGGAAAAGCAAAGGCTAAATTGTAGTTTTTAAGGTGTGAGGAGAGGCTAATAGCAAAAGATAAAACATAGTATATATTTGATGGCAGAATTTTTTAAATCATCTGTGCCTGATCACTCTTGCTGATGCTTTTATATGTAGCTCTAACTGAAGGCCTAGCCCAATTTCTGGCATACAGTACATGCTTGGATGGTTGGATGAGTTGAGCTAAAGATGACCAGGTCTCCTCACTCACTGTAAAGCGGTCGAGTATTGGACATTTATCTTTTCTTCTGTATCCCTTAGCTTTCTGGCATCCCATTGTTTTGGCACTCATTTTGATTGATTGTTCATGTAAGAAATAGCCTTGCTGAAATACACACAGTCCCATCATTACTCCGAAAGTGATTTCCACTCAACATGACCAGCAATATTACAATACTTTTTCGGGTTATTATCTCACAGTGTCTCATCTTAGCCACAGGCCACCACACTGGGGCCATAGCCTCCAGAGAATAAAGCCAAAAATATTCTCTTAAGTGTAACCAGTGTATCTATTTCAGTTAAGAGACCTTTTCCAAGTTACCAAAAATAGTATTTCATGCTTTGTACTTGTCTTTCTGTCAATGATTTTCAAATTCCTGTCATTCCTAAGCTAGGAACAGTTGGCCTGGATCGAGGAGAGAGCAGAGAGGGGAAGATGGACTGGGACCCCCAGCCCCACATCCTGGCCTGCCTGTGGCACTCACCGGAAGGTCCCTTGAGCACATGACATCCCCTCACCCCTCCACGCCCAATTGGTTAACTTCATTAACTATCTTAATTTCTGTTATAACAACTCAGATACTTTTTCAAAGTAAAATCATCCTGACGTGGGGTTCATGTCCAATAATCCTCATAATACTGAAAGTGTTCACTATGCAGGCTGTCAACTGTCTTACTGTTTTGTTTTTTAATGGATTTGATGCCTAGTAATACACACAGTCCCATCATTACTCCAAAAGTGATTTCCACTCAACATGACCAGCAATATTACAATACTTTTTCGGGTTATTATCTCACAGTGTCTCATCTTAGCCACAGGCCACCACACTGGGGCCATAGCCTCCAGAGAATAAAGCCAAAAATATTCTCTTAAGCGTAACCAGTGTATCTATTTCAGTTAAGAGACCTTTTCCAAGTTACCAAAAATAGTATTTCATGCTTTGTACTTGTTTTTAAAAGGGACTTTCACATCTAATTCTCCTTTTATACCCTTGACGGGCCTGCACAGCAGGCAGACTAGATGTCATTATGACCATTTGTCATATAGTAAAATTGGGCGTGGAGGGGTGAGGGGATGTCATGTGCTCAAGGGACCTTCCGGTGAGTGCCACAGGCAGGCCAGGATGTGGGGCTGGGGGTCCCAGTCCATCTTCCCCTCTCTGCTCTCTCCTCGATCCAGGCCAACTGTTCCTAGCTTAGGAATGACAGGAATTTGAAAATCATTGACAGAAAATCCTGGAAAGAGCTGGATATGTGGATCAATAGTATTAAGAGTTGTTCTGCTCAGTTTGCAGAGAGAAAAGGTCATAGTACTGAGGAATAAAATCAAAACTTCTATTCAGCCCTCCCAGCAGTCCCTCTTCTGCGGCAGGAATGCCCCAGCCTTCTCATTTATCCCATGGGCACAACTCCAGGGGTGAGAGCCTATTAATTTCTTTAACATAAAAAAGTTGAATGAGCCCCTATTACGTGTCAGCTGCTATACTAAGTACTAGGAACACAGAGATAAATAAGATGTAATTTGTGTTTTTGAAGCATTCATAGTCCAGGTGAGAAGATCTTGATGTATACAAGTATCATCAATGTAATGGATAAGGCCATCGTCAAGATGGGGAACTCTGAAGACAGAACTACCACCTGGTAGAATCAGAGGAGGCATCTCATCTTCCCTACACCGTGAATGTGCTGCTGGGTTGTCCTACTGTGCATAAGGGAGGGAAGGTCAGTGAGGCATTGCGGCCATGTTGCACTGACTTGCAGGGTGTGGTGTGGAGTGAGTTCAAGTGTTATTCTTCGTGCAACATCAGGCCACGGAAGCCTGTTAACAGAGGAGTAAAAACAACCTAGCTATGTCCTCTCTACCTCCCAATGTCTCCTCTGCCCCTTCTTAGCACTAAAATACTAGGAAGTTTGACCAGGACTGGCAGTTAAAGTATTGTCTTTGCTCCATCATACACAGATGAAAAGGCTGAGGCTTAGAGAGGAATGCCAGCTCATTCAAGATCTCACACTTGCTCGACAGTAGGCTGACCCAAGCTGGTCCCTGGCATGCATCATACTGCCCAAAGCCACTCTGAAGGAGAGGGCACCCCTGGGCTTTTATCACACCTGAGATCTGCAAAGGAGCAGGAACTAGGAAATATGAAGAGGAAAATATGAGACTCTTAGTCAAAGGTATCATATAATAGAGAACGGTTTAGTAAAATGAGAGCTCTAAAAGGCCACTGGATTAGACAATTAAATCACCGACTTAAAGGGTCCTGAATGAATTAATTCATCTTCCATCAGACCTTATCAAGAACCGATTCAGTAGAGCAGGGTTTCTCAACCTCAGCACTGTTGATGCTTTGGATTGGATGATCTTTGCGGTGGGGGCTGTCCCGTGCATTGGAGGATGTTTTGCGGCACCCTGGCCTCTACCCTACTAGATGCCAATAGCACCCCCTCAATCGCAACAACCAAAAATAACTTCAGACACTACCAAATACACCCTAGGAGGCAAAATCACCCCTGCTAAGAACCAGCCCGTAGAGCTGTGTGAACAGAAGCCAGACTGGAGGATTATTGAGGCCTCTATCCTGGGACTACCCTTTCAAGAGGTCTGGCAGTCAAGAGCAGACCTGTGAGAGGGGTGAGCTGGAGGAAGAGGCTAGCGAAGGACAGTTTTGTTCATTTTTTGTTGTTTTAATGAGTTTTATTTCTAATGGAGAATACATTTGTTTGCCCTAAGAAAAGAACCAAGAAAGTGGTAAAGGTTAAAGGTAAGGGAAAGCCACGGAGTAGCAACCATTTAATTATTTCACAAACATTAAGCGTCTCCAGTTACCACACTCTGTGCCAAGCTCTGCAGATGTCATGGTGAACAAGTGAGAGGATCCTTGTTCAAAAAAATATAGAAAAGTTTGAAATGGCAACAGAGCATTAAACCCCAAGCACAAAGCCCTTCCGTGCAGGATTGGGGTGTGGGGCTGTTCTGTGCACCTGTTCAGATCTTATGCACAGGAAGCCATTCCTAGTTGTGAGTGAGGGAGAGGTGGCCCTGGCCTCACAGAGTGTAAGCCTTGGAGTCTGGTGAACAGGACAGGCAATAAAAGGAAGTATAACAAGCACTGGGGTATGGGACATGCAGGAATATTGCTGCACACTACAACACACCTAACCCAAGAGATTAGCAG